TTCTCTGTGTTGTTCATCATCTCCTCGTCTTCTTCTAGTTCTCTCTTCCTTTTTGTTTTTTTGTAAATGCATAAATCAAATCTGTCTGAATACTGCTGTAAATGTTGCAAACTGTCACCTCAAAGAGAATACAAAGAAAGGCAACCACATCACCCCTAAGTATGCAGATATGGTGGTATGGTTTTCAGACATGTCTCAGGTAAGAGACTTTTGACTTTAACTTTAATTTAAAATACTTTTTTAGGACTTTTTAAGGACTCGGCCATCAGCTGAGCACGCTCCCAAAAAATCACCTCTCTGTCGTGTGATGAATCCCAAAGATGATCAACCCCTCTTCAGGGGTGTGAGTGCCCGTAAATGACCCAACGCTCCAGCATTTAAATAAACAGGCTGATTAATAATGTAACGATGTGATTAGCAAGACAACATCTCACATTTCTAATCGTGTCCTTTTTAATTAGGAGCAGAATGATATCAGCTCTCCTCTCCCGACATTCATAATTCATCGGCTGCCCTTTTTGTCTGGGAGGTGATGTGAGATGGGAGGATTGGATAGTGAAGGGGCCCGATGAGGAGGGACGAGGACAATGCAGCGCTTTGACTTTGGTCATTACCAAGATGGTGGACCACGAGGATTCAGCTGAACTTGATGTGAAAAATATTCCATCCATCTGTCCATTGCTGGAGCCGATCCCAGCTGTCATTGGGCGAGAGGCGGGGTTACACTCTGGACTGTTCACCAGCCAATCACAGAGCTGACATATAGAGACAGCCAACCAGACACACTCACATTCACACCTACAGACAATTCAGAGTCAGCAGTTAACCTAACGAGCATGTCTTTGGACTGTGGGAGGAAGCCGGAGAACACACACATGCACGGGGAGAACATGCAGACTCCACACAGAGAGACTCCTGTCAGACGGGGATTCAAACCAGGAACCTCCTTGCTGAGAGGGGACAGCGCTAACCACTGCAGCACTGTGCATGACACCAAAAACTGCCAATATTTTCAACTTTATTGTCCGTCTAAATGAATGCCAAACTCAGCAGTTGAACCTTTAAAGAGATTTAACCCCACAGTGCTCTCCTCTCTTATCTCTCTGTTACTTATTAAACTGTCTTTGATTATTCTACAGCTCCTCCAGGTCAAAGTGCTTTTACACCGCGGGCCACACCTACACATTCACACACTGATGGTAGAGGCTGCTGTCAACTAATCCATTCATACACATTCATGTGCCGCCGATGAAGCAGCAGGAGCAACTTGGGGTTAAGTGTCTTGCCCGAGGACACATCGGACATATGGCTGCAGGAGCTGGGGATCAAACCCCCAACTTTCCAGTTGAGAGTTAGTTTGGTTAGATCACAGAAAGATCCTTGGCATGGTTAAACGATATTCCTGCCTCGGGGTGAATGCACTCTTCCAATAAAAATCAAGTTGATGCATCATGACAGGAAGCTTTGGCTGTGTTTGGATGTGCAAAAAATATATGCATAATACAAAAGACTTCCAGGATCAGAAGCAGGTTGAGCCGTGTGGAAACATGCACAAAGTTCCATCAGCTCCATGTGTTCATTAGTGTGTGTGTGTTTGTGTGTTATCCCATTCAAAGGAAAAGGGCAGCGGAGATAAAGTGAAGGACGAAGAGAAACCTTTTCAGAGTGTGTCTGTCTGCAGCGCCGGGCAGCTGAGTCACAGCGGAGGGAGAGACACATCAACGCGTCCTCTGCTGCACACTGACAACATGTTATTAAAATCAAATCAAATGCGCGCAACCAAAAAAAATTGAAAATATCAAGACTGAATGAACCGCCCCTTTACTTCCCCCCCCCCTCTCTCTCTCTCTCTCTGTGCAGCTGAGATAAAAGTCATTACAGAGAATGTATTTTCCTCCTGAAAGCAGGGGACTGATATCAGAGCAGGTCTGTGTTTAGAAATGAGGTGAAACATGCAGATGTGTATGATAGAAGGGGCTGCATTAATAACTATCCAGAGTCGACTACTGTTAACTGAGGTTCAGAGTTCAATTAAAGGTCACATATCATCCTCCTCTTCTTCAGTGTAAATAAGTCTCAGAGCTCCTCAAAACATGTGTGTGAAGTTTCTTGTTCTAAATCCACTCTGATCCTGTATTTGATCATGTCTATAAACCCCTCTATTTCAGCCCTGCTCAGAACAGGCTGTTTCTGTGTCTGTACCTTTAAATATGTAAATGAGCGGTGTCTGACCACGCCCCCTCTCTGGAAGGGCTTGGGTGTACTTGGTCTTTCTCGCTCCATGTCCTATTGTTTACAGTGAGAAGGCAGACTCAGAGGGGCAGGCAAAAGACGGAGAGGATGGACGGCAAAGGACGGAGAGGATGGACTTTTCTCATCATTGGGGGGTTTGTAGACGGACTAGAGACACATGTTAGAGTTTGAACAACATGATGAAGTGTATTTTGAATAATATGTGACCTTTAAACTCAACCAAACGAATACATTCAGAAATGGTAAGCAATCGATTTTGGTGTAAGAGTCTGCTGGCAAAGAATTGTCTTTTGGGGCACTGTTCCTCGAGGCAGATGGCCTGGGTTCAAGTCCGACCTGTGGCTCCCTTCCCCCATGTCATTCCCCACTCCCTCCCTCCCTCCCTGATGTTTCCCGCTCTATCCACTGTCCTATCAAAATAAAGGCAAAAAGACTTAAAAATTAATCTCTAAGGTAGTAGTGTGCGACTGAGTTTGGTGCTGACCTCGTTGTCCCGGTCCTTCTCCAGGAAGTGTCGGGCCACGTGGCTGGGCAGGATGTTCCTCAGCATGTTCTCGTTGTGTTCTCGAAGCTCCTTCATCTCGTTGATCTCCTCTTTGGCCTGAACGCGCCACAGGAAGTCCAGCCGGGCCGTGTACTCCAGCTGCGGACAGGATGGAACACCAAAAAGTTACAACACAAGGTAGTCAAAGTTGAATGAACCTCTTTCAAATATCTTCAAAACCTTCAAACCGACACCAATTCACGTAAACAACCATATCTAGATAAGAGATCGCCAACAGTCAACAACCTCAGGAAATCATTTACAAAAAGACATCTTTGGACGTCATTAATGAGCTGTTGGGTTGTTGCCTTACTCGAGGGCGCCCCTGCAGTACTCAGGAAGTGACCTGGCACCTCTCCAGCAACAAGACCAACTTCCATATTTTGGTCCGCACTTGGACTTGAACCCAAGTCCCTACAGACTGAGCGACTGCAGCGATGTGCAAACAATGATGAACCTTATAACTGAAGCTCCATTTCTCAAACAAAAGACGCTCTAAACTCGATCGGACTTTATAAATAATTGATGTTTTCGAGGATTTCATGCGGAGCTTTCAGGGGCTTTAAAATGATATTTTGTTCTGCTGACAAATCTGCAGGAGCTCAACACACACATCAACTCTTTGATTTGAGACCCTGAAAACTGCCAAAATAAAGCTGAGACAGATTAGGATTATTCAGAAACATTCTGTTTTACCATCTCCAAATATTTGTTGCTACTTCTCAAGTTCCTGAAAAAACGGAAAATCTCCACTCCTCTTCTCCTCACGATGTTTCAGGCCGAGAGGTTAGACTTTGTTCATCACTCAGAAATGTATAAGGTGAGGTGAAAGTCTGTCGTTTGAATGAGCTGGGGTTCTTTAGTGAACAGCTTAATGAAACAATTTGTCAAGAGTTATAGAAACACGAGAGTGAGATCAATCTGAAGAGCAACACCTATCACTTTAGTGTATGTACAATCAAAGCAAAGTCACCTGAACACATCAGAGCCAATGAAAAGTGTAACGTTTAGTCTGTAGAAAAGGGGTGGGGGGCAGGGGATAAATCTGAGATATTGAAAATAAATTTCGGGGACGACGGCCTTTTAGGATTGAAGCAATCGGTGAAACCTTTTTTTGAATGATTAATCCTGGTATCAATTAGTCCTTTAATCATTTGAGTGAATACAAAACTGCAATTTAATTTTCCTTTTCTAATTAAGAAATCCTGCAGGGCTGCTTCAGAGGGAGAAATAATGAGACTGTGGGTGGTGCAATATGAGAAGTTTAACTAACACGACGTCCTCGCTGCAAATCCTCATGACGCTTCGATTAAAAAGGAGCTTCTGGAAACCCTCAGAGAAACACAGGACACAATTCTTAATAGGTCAAGCTGCATGTTGTCATCTCTCTCACTGTATGATTGGGTGACTTCATTCTGTTCTTATATTAAACTCTTACAGGTTACAGGTTAGAGGCAGGACAATCGTTAAATCATAAACATTAGAAACATTCCCAAAGGGACCAAACAGCATGAGATTAACACATATTGTAAATTTTAAAGCAGGACGATTGTGACTAAACTAAATGAGCATGTATTAACTTGTCCAGTTTTTACAGACTCATTCAGTCATCACAGTCTACAAGTTAGCTGCAGAGCCTGATCATCTGGTGCATTCAGGCCCTGTGGGGATTCAGAGCTGTGACAATGAACTCATACGTTGAATTTGTTGTATCTAAAATACACCTGTTACTCTAAATGATGTTCAAAAAGACTTAAAGGAGTGTATTAAAATGATCATCATTTAAGCAGACTGAATTTTAAGGACTACAGAAGAGCTTATTTCAGAAACAAGAAAGACCTTCTCCAAACCCTCCGATTCAAAGAAGAGTTCATCTTGTAAAATCTGAAATGAGAAGTGTTTTTAAAAGAGAAATGTTCTCTGTTGTAAACAAGTCTCTCTCTCTCAAACCGCTACTCTTCCTGGAATGAAGCACAGCTTGTTAACCCCTCCCTCTTCTTCCTGCTCTCAAACACAGCCAGTCCTACTGTGACCTCTGTCTTTAAGAGCGACTGGAACAAACAGAATTCCACCTGGGATTAATAAAGTGTTTCTGATTCTGATTCTGAGCGTGTCTGACCCTGACCCTGACTGGTGGATGATTCCAAAGGAGAGGGTCCTGATATCATACCACTTGCTTGGACTCCTCAGATATTAGGACCACGTAAGGCCTGAGGGTGGTGACAGCTATGATTTCCGGGAACCTCAGCCGTCTCCACGGTAACCACGAGCCACCAGTCTCTCGTTCATGCACTGTTTTTTAATCCAGGAAAAGATGTTAAACTTTTATTATTAGTCAATATTTAAGTTTGCACTGAGTTAGAAAAAATGCTGCTCCGCTGTCAGAAGCCTGGTCAATGTCTGTGATTGGTCAAATGCTGCAAACTCCGCCCATTTATGTGAAGGCTGTCATGGAAACACTCTGTTTATGTATTTCTCTGTTTTACTTTTTTACTGATTGTTGTTTATGAGACACACCCTGTCTCTTTAAAAAGCTGTTCTTTGTGTAACGCAGTCAAACCTGAACATCCATCCTTCTGTCAGTGATCTCTACCCGATGAAACTATTTCCCTCTTCCCTCCCCGTCACACACCTGCAGGTATGAGGATGGGTGTGAACTATATACTGTGAATAACTGGAGCTGAAAAACCTCATTCAGTGCAGCAAGTCAACAAGAGCAGACGTTTGTTGTCCATCAGAGCTCTGAATGTGTTTCTATCCAGAGAAAGAGGAACTGTTTGTTCGTCACGATCACTGAGAGGAGAAATGGCTCAGCGAGGAAACCAACTGGACCGAGAGACAATCTGCTGTCCCATCTGTCTGGATCTCCTGAAGGATCCGGTGACTACTTCCTGTGGACACAGCTACTGCATGAAGTGTATTAAAAGCCACTGGGATACAGAGGATGAGAAGAGAGTCTACAGCTGCCCTCAGTGCAGACAGGACTTCATACCGAGGCCTGTCCTGAGGAAAAACACCATGTTAGCAGATTTAGTGGAGGAGCTGAAGAAGACTGGACTCCAAGCTGCTCCTGCTGATCACTGCTATGCTGGATCTGAAGATGTGGCCTGTGATGTCTGCACCGGGAGAAAACTAAAAGCCTGTAAATCCTGTCTGCAGTGTCTGGCCTCTTACTGTGAGAAACATCTTCAAACTCATTTAGAAGCAGCTCCATTAAAGATACACAAGCTGGTGGAGCCCTCCAAGAAGCTCCAGGAGAACGTCTGCTCTCGTCATGATGAGGCGATGAAGATGTTCTGTCGTACTGATCAGCAGTCTATCTGTTATCTCTGCTCTGTGGACGAACACAAAGGTCATGACACAGTCTCAGCTGCAGCAGAAAGGAGCGAGAGGCAGAGAGAGCTCGAGGTGAGTCAACAAAACATCCAGCAGAGAATCCAGGACAGAGAGAAAGATGTGAAGCTGCTCCAACAGGAGGTGGAGGCTATCAATGGCTCCGCTGATAAAACAGTGGGGAACAGTGAGAAGATGTTCACTGAGCTGATCCGTCTCATGGAGAAAAGACGCTCTGATGTGAAGCAGCAGGTCAGATCCAAGCAGCAAACTGAAGTGAGTCGAGTCAGAGAGCTTCAGGAGAAGCTGGAGCAGGAGATCACTGAGCTGAAGAGGAGAGACGCTGAACTGGAGAAGCTCTCACACACAGAAGATCACAACCAGTTTCTACATGACTACCCCTCACTGTCACCACTCAGTAAATCTACACACTCATCCAGCATCAAGATCCGTCCTCTGAGGTTCTTTGAGGATGTGACAGCAGCTGTGTCAGAAGTCAGAGATAAACTACAGGACGTCCTGAGAAAGAAATGGACAAACATCTCACAGACAGTGACTGAAGTGGATGTTTTACTGTCAGAACCAGAGCCCAAGACCAGAGCTGAGTTCTTAAAGTATTCTTCTGACATCACACTGGATCTAAACACAGCAAACTCACTGCTGTTATTATCTGATGGGAACAGAAAAGTAACAGCAATGAGAGAACAACAGTCTTATTCTAGTCACCCAGACAGATTCACTGATTGTTGGCAGGTCCTGAGTAAAGAGAGTCTGACTGGTCGTTGTTACTGGGAGGTGGAGAGGAGAGGAGACGGAGTTTCTGTAGCAGTCACATACAAGAATATCAGCAGAGCAGGGGGCTCAGATGAATGTTTGTTTGGAGGTAATGACAAATCTTGGATGTTAGATTGTTACCACAATGGATATAACTTTTGTTACAACAAAGTCATCACTCCTGTCTCAGGTCCTCAGTCCTCCAAAGTAGGAGTGTACCTGGATCACAGAGCAGGTATTCTGTCCTTCTACAGCATCTCTAAAACCATGACTCTCCTCCACAGAGTCCAGACCACATTCACTCAGCCTCTACATGCTGGACTCGGGTTAGATTATTATGTTGGAGTCTCTGCTGAGTTGTGTAAACTGAAATAGACAGAAGTCATTAACGAGACAGATGTTTAACTTGCTGTGTTTTAAATCTTCAACTTGATTTTTATTCATGCTCGTTGCTGACATCTGATCGTCGTCACCTGTCAATCAAACTTCATGGGCGGTACTTTGACCTCTTCTCGTCTGTTCTGTAAATGTTTGAGTGTCTTTAAGTGACACTACTTCCTGTGTCTGTTTAGCCGTGGACTCTTTCACTGCTCAGGATGACTTTTGTTCACCTGAACTGACATTTCTCTGCATGAAAATATCAACTTCTCTCCGCTCTCCATGTTTGATTATTTATATTCATATGTTTATATGCTGTTATTAAATCAACCTCTACTTTAAATGTTGTGTGTGCCTTTTTATGTTCCTTTTCTTTATTTGAAAAACGTATTCAGCAATTTATGTACACATTATATTCAGTTTTTTAGCAACGCATTCTTATAAGTAAATGTCTGGAATGATGATTGTGTATGACGTTTGCAATAAAGTGATTAAAAAAAAAGAGAGAAACCCCTTATTTCAAAATAAGAGCCTTATCTGCAGAGTTGTAAAAGCTTCATCTTCACAGAGTTGATGATGTCATCACTGCTGAGTAGGGATGTAAAGATTAATCGTGAGGCGTTTTTTTTTTACCAGAATCCCACTGTGACATCACAAGGAGAGTACATTTGAAACAGAGCATTTTTCTCTGTGTTGTAAGACTACAAAAACAACACAAACAAAGGACTGGGTGGGTTTATTTCACATTTTGTGGGTCAGCAGACTCAGGTTACCCAATAATGTTGGGATAATGTTCAAAAACACTGTCAACACTGTCAAAAACACAGTGGATTTTTCAGAATATGTCCCCTTTAAAAGGCCAAACAACACTGACAAGCGGGTTAGTAGTCCCTAAAGGAATCCTTTTCAGGCATCATTTATCTACAGTCTCATTTTTTAAAATAAATTGTATCGTGAACCACGGCTGCGTTTCTAAAGAACAACCTCCTCAGGCTTCTGTCCTGTTGTCGGTTCATTCTGTTAGAGGACTTCATCTGGTCTCCTCTGCTGCTGTTTCTTAACATCTGAACGAGGGACAGTACGGCTAGACTCCATATTTAACAGTTACAGTGAAGAGTCTTTATCCCGGTGAGCTGTGATCGTCCATGTGTCTCCTATCAAAAGGTGTTTCATGTGACGGCTCACATAATAAGCTGTGTAATTGAAGCTTAAGTACGAAATAGAATAAAAATATGTTTAAATGTGGTTTTATTCATCTTTAAACAAGCTGTGAATGAAGGCGCGGTAATGAGAACGGCAGAGAGGAATAAAAGAGCGAGTCTCCTCCATCTTTCTGCTCGTATGTGCTCGTCTCCACAGCACAATCGAATCGTTTAAAGAGCCTCTGAAAGGAGCTCCAACGCCTGTTTTTATACTCTCTCCACAACAGATCACAGTACACTGTGAGACGTTTCAAAGGACAGAAGAGCCGTGTTCTTCCTTCAGAATACAAACGATGGAGCTTCTGTTTGTTTTGCTGATTTATGTTTCTGTTGGATCTTTTGGTTTGCTTTGAGCAGGAGACATGCTGCTATCAAATGCAGTATGCAAAAATATTAAGAGTGTGTCTAATACAGCGGATTTTAAACTTAAATGAACACGTGGACGTCAACCAGCAGCCAGTCAGTATGGGGGAGCTCTGAATGTTTTGGCTTCACTTTCAGGGAGCTGTCATCTTTGATGTCCATCTTTTTAAACTAATCAAAACTATTTCCTCTGCGCTGTAAAGAAGCAGAATCACATCGAGCATTTCACCTGACCTCGCTGCAAAGAGTGAATCATCTCTCTTAGGCCCCGTGAACACCTAGAGATTTTTCCAGAAAAGGAAAGCGCTGCACGTCTGTCCGGTCTCCATGACAACGACTGCTGTATCACAGATTCTGCAGATTTCTTGTTAACTGCAAACTACGGGCAATATCAGACATTTTGAAAAGATCGCCTGTGACATCGGCAGCAACTTTCTGAAAAGTTGAAAGGTTTTTCAGCACTCGGAGTGGCTGCACAACAAAAAGGCAGAGCGCTCAGGAAAAAGACGCTGAGTGCTGCGCTTTTTCTCAGGGCGACCGCCTGCTGCTTCAAACGCTCCCTCCTTACTGAACACAGTTGAAAAAAGATGCTGGCGCTCAGAAAAAGCCTTATTTGGCCTCCTCTCTCTTGGCCTGATGCGTCTCAGACAAACAGCGTTTCAGAGCTGTGAGAGCCGCACGCCTCCCGCTGTGAGCTGTCGTTGTCTCCGTGTTACAAAACAAGTCCAGGGACTGACCCCGGCTAAATCAATACGCCTGCGGACGACTTCAAATGCAGCCGCTTTCTACTTTTACGAGACTACAAAGGACCTTCAATTACAGCCGTCTGTCCGCGGCTGAGCTGCTGAACCGGATGATCAAAGGTTTCCATAGAGAGAGAGCACCAAAGCAACGCGCTGATACCAGTTTTCCCCGGGCTCCTTACTCGACTGCTGCTTCATAAAAAGTGACTCTTTCATTGTTTAAAGAAGTGGTTTTGTTTCAGTCAGTGTTTGTTTCTCAAGCAGCATCACTCAGAGGTCAGATAAAGAAGAGCACCTGACAGGATGATGTCCTCTGGAGGGTCTGGAGGCGCCGCTTGTCCAGAGTTTCTCTTTATGAAACACACGTCCAGCCGGCTGCAGCAGCTGGAGGTCATAGTTCAATCCTGTTTAAACGGTTCTCAAATGAAGCTGTAGCGTAAGTTGAGTCGGGATGACTATAATTGCCTTCATGATCGGGTCTTTCTCATTCATCCCTTTTTGCACCAATCACATGGTGTTCCTCCCTCATTGTCAGCCTATCATCGCTCTGCTCCCCTTATAAATAAGATTCTTTCTCTACCTTTAGTTCCTCCATTCTGATGTTTTGTGCGAACACCCTCCACCTCCCCATCACCGCCCGTCTTCCCACATTCATCATCATCCATCAATTCTTCACCCATCTGGTCATCAGCTTCACCACCACCAGGCTCTGGACTCCATGGGGGGAGTCATTCTCCAAACACATCTACCCCCCCATAGAGTCCAAGCGCCAAAGTCTTTCAGTCAAGTCACATTTCCATGTTGTTCATTGTAATAATTTTCTTCATTCACTTCTCGTCTCTCCTGATTGAAATACAAACTACAAAGCGAGAGGCAACAGGAAGCTAAAGCTCCAGCCTTTCTTGTTACTGAGTTAAATGTTCCTCAGTGACATCGGTCCATCACAGTGTAAAACATCTGGAGAACACAGACCTGCTGCAGGAGTTTGTGTTTGTATGAATCTATAACGATCTGAGTCCTCTAAAGGAAGTAAAGGAAGCATGAGCTTTAAACAGAAGACAGTGGGCGTCTCCTTTATTTCTGATTTAACGTCTCCTTGGCAGGTTTTGGATTTTTGATAAACTGTAACTGAGGGTCGGTGATGAAGAAGACGTTTGTGACTGGTGTGCTCTCACCTGTTGGCCGTGGTAAAACACGGCGAGGAGGAACATGGCCATCAGGAGTAGAGACGTCTCTTTGGTCCCCAGGAAGTTTCTGTTCAAAATCAGAAGAGAGGAAAAGGATGTAAGAGGATGATTTTCAAATGTGATGAGATCCCGTCAAGTTTTCGTCTTTTCACGCCTTCATTTAGAGACAGGACAGTTGATAGAGTCAGAAATCAGGGAGAGAGAGAGAGAGAGGGGGGGAGTGAGAAAGGAGCCACAGGTCAGATTCGAACCCCGGCCCGCCCGCCTGAAGGACCACGGCCTCCATACATGGGGCTTGATTACTAACCACGAGGCTACCAATGCAGCAGTTTGATTACTGGAAAACATGAAGCATACAGAGCTATTAAAACTGACCTTGCTGTCACTACCCAGGGCAGCATTAGAATAAATTCTGTAACCTAGCAACAATGAACGCCGGAGAGAAGCGCTCTGAAAAACAATTCTTTAAATATATGTCTCTGTTTTCACATATTCACTCCTGAAATCCTCCTGATGTCTCCGTCCACACATGCATCTCACAGCGGGACACTATCCCTGTTGGACGGGAGGGGGGGCACAGGGGGTCTCCTGAGGTACAACGTGATGTTATAAAAATGACATGGAAGTGGTGGATGTAGCAACAGAGTCCTCTACACGACGCTATAATGAGAATATTTGTCTTTCTATCAACACTACGTGTAGTTGAAGAGAATCTCAATGTGAACTAAAGAGTGGAGAAGAACATCCTGGAGAACAGGAAACATGAAGCAGCAGGTTGATTAGAGCACGGAGATGGTAGCGGTGGCGTACAGACCGTCTATGGTCGTGCAGCGATCACAGGGAATAAACGTCACCACCCCCTGGAGGCTTATCAACAGGCAAGGCAGGAAACTGCTCAGGGCCCCGGACCAGTAAGGGTTTCCTCAAATGCTGACAAACTGAAAACAACAGCAGTAGCTCAAAATGTGCAAATTTTGCAATGACAGTAGGAAGCCTCCCTAATGGAGCCCCATCTGACCGCACTCTCTCTCATTGCACTGCTTAGCATCTCGTGGATTATTCCTGTGAAAAACAAAGTTTGTCAGTGAATGTCAGTGAAGGAAAATGAAGAGGAATGATGTGTGTGGGAGTAAAAAGAAGAAAGAGGAAAAGCGTCGGGATACTGGCTGACATGATGGTGGTTGGAGGGGCCCCCTAATTAATTTTGCCTAGGGCCCCAACAGACTCTGGAATCGCCACGACCCCCCCAATTCACTCGAGCTGATTAAATCCTGCTGTGTTCTCACATCAGCTCACTCGGATCTCCTCCACAGGAGAAATATTCAGAGGCTGACAGGAGCGACTCCCGATGAAATGTGAGCAAAAAATCCGGCTGTTTGCGTTCCCACATGCAAACAAATGTCATCTTGTGTACTATAAGTATCGTATTAATGCTACTACACTATTCTAGAAACAAATAAAAAAGATATGAGTCAAGAGTGTGACTTTACGATGTGGTAAACTAACAGCATCCCAAGTCTTTAATCTTGACCTTTCTCTTTCAGATCTCGGAGGGCCGTAAAGACGAGAATGAAGGTGGCTCCCATCAGCACCCTTCGGAGCTCTAATGGAAACCTCTGCTGCATGGAGGTACCCCCCCACCCGTCTCTTTGTTATAAGCTTTCATATACTGCTGCTGTAAAGGTCATTGTACGAGCTCTGAGAACACCTGCGAGATGAGTTTTCTCACATTTGCAACATTTGTGTCCAGAAAAAAAGGTCAGCCCGTCTACATGCGGTTTTTTTTTAAGGAGGAAGAAAGAGACAAATCAAAAGGTACATTTATGACCAACCTTTGGAGGAATTAGGGATTAAGTTTTACTAATTACGACTTCATCTTTTATTAAACCTGGAGCTGCTGACGATGTGAAAACTAATCAGACCACTCATTGTTAGGGGCGACATATTTAGCAACAAGATGAGGGCAGCGGTCAGTTTCAGTCAGAGACAGGGGGGACACAAATGTTTGAAACATAAAAAAGGCTGTAAACATTATACCAACACATGTAGAAGAATTATTTTACATTTTACATTAGGAACAGACCTGTGCTTTTGAGACACTCTCAATGAAACATCTGTGCTGTGCTTTGGTCAAAATATAACATGAATCAAGCACCAGAGGAGGTTTGTGACCCTGTATAAACCAGCTCTCTCAGAACTCTCCGTTTTGGTGTGTGTGTCTCTTTAAATGCAATAAGCCCCGCCCCTGAGTTTTCCCCGGAGACATCACTCCTCTGTAGCGAGAATAAAAATGGTGAACCTGTGCAAAAGTTTTGTTTTAGGCTGGGGGTGGAGATACCAGGGGAGGGGAGAGGATGTCTAGGTGATGTCTACCTGGAAAACTCAGGTGGTTCTCATTGCATTTTAAGAGACACACACACCAAAAGGGAGCGTTCTGAGAGAGCTGGTTTATACAGGGTCACAAACCTCCTCTGGTGCTTGATTCATGTTATATTTTGACCAAAGCACTGCACAGATGTTTCATTTAGACCACAGGGGCACTGTTTGAAAAGGTGGAGAAGGGGGATAATATGTACTCTTTAAAGCGTGAGACCTGTGTTTCTCCGGTACTTTAACAGCGGATTCAGACAGCTGTAGGACTTTGCAACATATCTTGTGAAATCTCCTTTGGATACTAGCATTGGTTGATTGTTGAACACATCCTTTATAAACACTCACTCTGTGTTGTGGTGGACGGTGTCGTAGCGAAGAAACAGTGAGGTGTAGAAAGCTTCGGTCAGCAGGGAGTAGATGGCGATCATCAACAGCAGCACTGCCAACTTCAACACGGAGTTCAGCCGCAGGAACACGGCACACGTCACCATCGCTAGGACCCCCGTGAACACGAAGTACTGGACACAGAAACAAAGAGGGACGTGGTTGAGTACAACTCTAAGACATTTTTCACTAAACTCTCCTTCTCGGGTGAAAAAAACCAACATCTTTTAAAGTCCATGCACTCTGATTGGATGACTTGTTTTCCTCAATATTGGAAAGATTTAATAATTAGATGTTATTTTCTCTGACTTGAATCATAATCTCACATCTCTGTGTAAATTATGAAGAGGTCCTTCAAATGATGAGAAAGACAGTCAGTATCCAGCAGCACACTGCACTTAAGGCTACTGACTATGCAACTCTGACCCCTAGTGTTTAAAATGGGTACTGCAGTCCAAAGTCTAAACATCATAGAGAGCTGTCTCCCCCCCTCTCACTCAGGTCACCATGTGGTGGACTCTGAAGCTTCAGTGTTTATCCAGCTCTGCATGGGTCTGTAAACCTTTCTGTGTTCTAACCTCTCTCCATTTTTCAAAAGCATCTCCAATATTGATCCTAGTTTGAGCACGTTTCTGCTCGTGGAGCTTATTAGAAACATGCAGAGGCTTTTTAGGTCGGGTACAATCACTTCTATCTGAACCACTTCTCTTGCCCGCTTCCATCGCTGCAACACCTGTTGACCTGATAACTGCTCTCATATCTGGCAAACCGAGGGGTGTCCAAAACGGCCGTGTGTAGGGGGGTCGCCTTAAAAGCGCCTACCTTCTCTGGTCCAAACAAATCCAGAGCATTCAGGACCAGCATCTAAAGTTAGAAGGAGGACATACTGGCTGCTGCATTGTTGTCAGAGAAGCCAGCACTTCAACATAGCATGTTTCCTTAATGTCTGATTATATAGTCAGGTCATCATTTCATTCAGTAGATATATCACATATTGGACCTTTAAGGATAATTCTCCTTCTTTGGTCTAATCTAGTATTCTGCTCTGGATTTCTCACCCCTTAAAACATCGAATAACTCTCTTTTTTATTAACCAGATCTTATTTGGACAAGCCAGCTCTCCTGACCCTCTGGAGGGAATAAAGGTTCCATGGAGCCATAAAAATTCTGCTCCCTTATTGAGTTCATCAATCAGCTGCATATTGAATGAGCAAAATAACATAATGGATGTTGGCTCCGTGATGATCTCATGGCTCCATCAGTCGTCGTTGTCTGAGGCGAGACCTCCCTCTGGGTTCAGGCAGGAGGATGTCAAGGATGTTTAATTCATCATTTTTGCTGAAAGTGTGAGAAAAAAACACAACAGATGAACCTGACTGCAAAATCTCAGACACATCATTCGGCAGGTACCTCTGGGTAGAAGCAGATGTCTGGGATGGAGGTCGATGCGTTGTACGTCTGGTTCTTGAAAGTGCTGGACTTGTCGAAATCGCACCACAGCTGGGAGAGACCAAGAGAGGTTATATTTTTGTGCGCTCTGAAACCGGTGCAGGATCAGTGTAAAAATAAGACATCCTCATATGTTTGGTCAACATGACTTCAAAGTGTCTGCAGCTTATTGTCAGAAAAAGAAGGTGAGATTCAGCTGATGTTTCAATCAGAAAACGTCAAGACACATTTCTTTTTCCTCAATTGTGACTTCATAAAAAGTAGCATAACATTGGTAACATGAGGTAGCCTTACACTCTGAAGGTAGACATGTTGCAAAATGTGAGAGTTTATAGAATGTAATTCCCCAAATCTGCCGTTCTGAATTGTGTGTATCCCGGATTTTGTGCAGTGTAAGATTTTAGAGCATCGAATGTGAGCTGAAGTCATAAGAAAGTGGATATTCCACTTACTATATTGATCATGGCCGCCAGGAAGTTGATGAGGATTGAAACGAAGATGATGACGTTCCGTGCCGCGTAGGTCTCGTTGATCCAGCAGCACGCTTTGCGAAGAACCAGAGGCAGACACTTGTAGTCTTCGGCCGTCGTGACGAGGACCAGACAGGAGTGGAGGATGATGAGGATGGAAAACTGGATCACCATGGTTACCATCCTGCAGAAAACCAAATTGATGGCAAAATAATAAAACCATACAGACAGTGTCGGTCCCAAATAATCTAGCTGGTACCTCAGACCTGTAAATAACTTTACATTAAAACAGGTAGCTGATCGGTGGTAACCATGGTAACCAACAAAGTAGCAGATCGCAGGAAAATGTTTGGGTTGCTTGGTAACAAGTCAGTTTCAGTTAATATGTGAAACTAGTTGAAACAGGGCATAGGGGTAGTAACGCTGCTTCACGCCTCGCTGCTTCACGCCTCGCTGCTTCACGCCTCGCTGCTTCACGCCTCGCTGCTTCACGCCTAGCTACGTCAGGCCTAGCTGCTTCACGCCTAGCTGCGTCAGGCCTAGCTGCGTCAGGCCTAGCTGCTTCACGCCTAGCTACGTCAGGCCTAGCTGCTTCACGCCTCGCTGCGTCAGGCCTCGCTGCGTCAGGCCTAGCTGCGTCAGGCCTAGCTGCGTCAGGCCTCGCTACGTCACGCCTAGCTGCGTCAGGCCTAGCTGCGTCAGGCCTCGCTACGTCAGGCCTAGCTGCTTCACGCCTCGCTGCGTCAGGCCTCGCTGCGTCAGGCCTCGCTGCGTCAGGCCTAGCTGCGTCAGGCCTCGCTACGTCAAACCACACTGCATCACGCCATGCTACGTCGTTTGTTGGCATTTAGGACACTCCAATAGGAATTTGTCCGTGGCATTTCCTCGCATCGCTTGCTGTTAGAATTTGTATCACCCGATTTATTTCACTTGCCCTATGGGGCTTCTGTAGCTTTCTAAAACATTAAATACAGATAAATAAAACCAGAACACGAACAGAATCTGCTCTGAATGCTGTTAGTCCGTCTTTACCTGGCAGATGGAAGCAGGCTCTGGATGGTTGTGATGAAGATGAGCACGATGAAGGCGCACACCAAGTTGGACTTGAACACCTCGTCTCTCATCTGGGAGTACTGCACCGCGAAGGGAAGAAGGAGAAGAAGAAATAAAGAGGAGAAAGAGGAGGTGAGTGGTAAATGGAGAAACAGGTTTTCAGACAAACAGAGAGGACTGACATTAAAGACGTTAAAATGCACGTCAAACACACCAAGACACCGGCACAGATGCATGCAACGGGTCAACCACAAGCGTTAGAGAGAGACAGGAGCCGGTGGGTTAGCTGTGGGGTCCTGGGAGAGGTGTAAAGCTCACAAGCACAATGCTAGCTGTTAGCCGTTAGCTGAGTCAGACACGAAAAACAAAAGCTAAAAAATAAGCTAACTGTGACGCTAAAGTGAGGTGGGAGAGGGTTTTTGAAAGCTTAAAAGATAATAGGTTTAATTTAAAACGTATAGTTCTGTACTTTGGGAAATGTCTTCTGTTTCACGAGATGATAATCGGGACGGAATTAGCTTAGCTTAGCATTAGTAACAATGTGGGGGGAAAATAAACTTTGTGGGTCTTGCGGTTGGTATGATCTGTTACATCTACCTGTAGGCTAAGAGAAATGTTTCTGCACATTAGTCAACTTAAAAAAAGGTTGTGTAAAGGGCTGTCAAACGATTACAATTTCTAATCGACAGTAATCACACGTTTGATCGCATGTTTGAATTTCCATTCTGAGAGTACTTTACTTCCTTTTTTTACTTTAACCATGCTTTTATTTTGAAATAAAGTAAGGACCTTCTGGTAGAGTGAAGGTTAGGACATGAAGTTAAGCACAGAAACAGGAAGTGGTTAGGGATCCAAAACTGAGGTCAAACAGCTCAAAGGAACGGTAACAAAGGTCAATGTGTGATGTCATAAGGTCAATGTGTGATGTCATAAGGTCAATGTGTGATGTCATAAGGTGGATATTACTTTGGACTCGTCAGCTGAGCTGTCTGAGAGTTTGTTAAAGTGAAATGAGACATTCAAAGATGCAGCAGTGTCCTTCTTTAACATCACTGTGACTACAGGGAGACACTGAGGACGACTATCTACAAGGAGCCTAAAGGGACAAAATAGCTTAAGATTAATCGCGATAAAAATATATATATTAATTACAGATCTAAATAAATCACACTTAATTAGTCAATGCTGACAGCCCTTGTTGTGTAATATTAATAAATGTTCCTCTAAATGTCGTAAACATTAAGTATCTGAAGCTTTTTTTCCCCCCAAAATGTTGTACTGTTCCTTTAATTTGCAGGGTGTTTGTTTTACCTTTTCGGGAGAAAATCAACATACAAATTTGACCTTTTTAATGGAGTAAACATGACGAGATCTTAACAGGTTGTTTGGGGATAAATAGAAAAAACTTTTAGCCAAAAGCTATTAGCATTTCCGAAATAAAGCTCTGCGCTGGTGTAAAACTTTAGACTTTTGAGTGACCGGTCTGGACCAAAATGCTGACTCATCTTAGTCCAACCCCCCCATGACCCCCGCTGCCCCCCTTCTCCTCGCTCTGTCTCTTTCTCAAAGGGTGCTGGGAAATTAGCAAGAGGATGTTTCAAGTTTCATCACAACTTTGGCAAAAAAAAGTAGAGTTTAAAAAAAAAAAAAAGGAGGCCAACAGCAAATCACTGCACATGTACTGAAGAGGTTAAGCGGTAAAAAAAAAAGAAAAGTGTATTGGTAAAGACTTGAAGATGATGCTGGGATTCGAATTGAGACATAAATGGGGAGAAAGGGGAGGGGGAGGGGCAAATGAAGGTAAAATCAAGGGTGGAAAGAAAAGGACAAAAAGCTAACGAAGAACATTGCATTCACAAAAGAAAAAAAAATCCACTGAAACTTTTTCTTTTAATCGTGACTTTGATATCTCATGATTATGAATTAACATCTCATAACCAAATAATCATCTGGCAATCTCTTTTTGGACAAGATGTGTCATTAGAATTTGCTATAAGGGAAAAACAAAAGTTTTGTGTCAGCTGTCGATAAACCAATAAACATATTCTTTTGTGTTTTTATAGCGATGAAGGCCATAAAGAAGAAAACAACTTTCTGCATTCTTCAACTGCTTGTTCTGTCTCATAGAGCTCAACAGTGATGTCCACTTTTTGGTCTGTTTTAGTCTGTTCAATCCTACATTGAGATTTAATAAAAATATTTTTGTCAAGAGAACGACGCCTGTAACCAAGACAACCAGCTAACCAATACTCGTGACTATAAAGCATTTGATTCAGCGCAATAACAGCGTTAAAAAAACAGAGAAAGAGGCAAAGGTACAACACTGTGTACATTTTCTTTTTCCGGAGTCAAGAAACTACCCATCCTACGATCCAGTGGGAATGATATTGCGTCTTCTTAAATGTAACTTAAGTCGTTGTTATCGTGTTTAATATTGATAGCACAAGTTTTGTGTTGTTAAATATGGAAATAACATTCATGGCATCATAACAAGGTCATTAGTACATTTCCTGTTAGCTAACTTACTAGCTAGCTCGCTAGTGGAACAGGAGGGGGCTGGAACATCGCCATGGTAACAGCGAGCTCCACCAATCAGAGACGTTGCTGTGACACTATGACCTTGGGTACTGTAGTTATTTTTTACTTATATTGTGAATTAACCATGGTTTCCTGAAAACGAGGTGGATATCGTCTTCTACAGGAGCATCGTCTCACACTCAGGTAGCTCGTGGTCAGTCTACCTTGGATGGTTATTATAACATTAATGATAATAATCAAATCCGCTATGGAGAAAATGAATTGGATTTTCACTTGTGGAACCACACTCTTGAGCTCTATTGTAAATAAAATCTAAACGGTACAGTGTGTGCCAATCGAGCTAATCAATTTGTTTTTTTGAACCAGGCTGTAAACATGTTAATCTCTGCTGTAAAAACAGGCTTTTTAGAATGGGTGTGTATGTGACTTCCTGTGCTTCTGCAGCTCAGCCTCTAGTGGACACTCGATGAACTGCAGAATTTTGCACCGGCTTCACTTTTCAACACCGGAGGTTGCCGCTAACTCTAGCTGAGAAGTAAGAAACCCCTGTTTTGTTTTTGTTTGGGTGAAAGTTACTCGGATAATAATGAGAAGTAAAGTCATCATCATGGGGTGGGTCATTTGTTAATTCAGAAAGTCCCTCAGAAATATGTTAACTTTTCTTTCATGAATGCAATGTGCTCCTGTCAAAAAAATAAAAAAGGAAAAGTTGAAAATGTCAACTTTTTTTCCCACAACACTGTAAAAAGTGAAAGGGGTCCTTGGACTTGAGAGGTCATGAGTAAACTGAAGGAGGTTCTCCAACCTGAGCAAAACTAATCCGCCGTACCGAACATCGATGTAGAGTTTTAAACTGGTTTAATTCAGTTTAATGTTAGAGAATGATATTCGCTGTAACTCATTAAAAAAAAGATTTAAAAAATGGCATATTGTTGTTCTGATTAAAAGTATCGACAGTCACAAATTGGGACTGTTTCGTTCTCGTATTATGCAGTCTGAAGTGTGCCGACCCAGAAAATAATTTGGGCTTTTATTTTTTCATCCAGTCTTTGAAAAGTGATCAAAACAAAATTAATGAAGGTTGTTCATGACCCACAGAGTTTGGATTTAAAATTCGCTCAAGGTTATTTTAGTATATGCAGAAAATATCTTTAATTTGAAATGCTTGTGTATTAACTGTCAGGATTAACTAGTTAGTCGTGATTAATTAAGGTCTGAAATTCATGCATTCACTTTTTAAATCTCATGTTGTTTTGTCCCTTCAGGCTCTCCGTAGATAGTGGTCCTCAGTGTCTCCCTGTAGTCTCAGTGATGTAAAAGAAGGACACTGCTGCATCTCTGAATGTCTCATTTCTCTTTAACAAACTCTCAGACAGTAATATCCACCTGATGACATCACACATTGACCTTATGATATCACACATTGACCTTATGACATCACACATTGACCTTATGATATCACACATTGACCTTTGTTACCATTCCTTTGAGTTGTTTGACCTCAGTTTGGGATCCCTAACCACTTCCTGTTTCTGTGATTAACTTCCTGTCCTAACCTTCACTCTACCAGATAAAAGCAAAATAAAAGCAGGGCTGAATTCAAAGCGAAAGTAAAGTACTCTCAGCTTAAGACAGTTCAAAATTTCAAAATAAAAGCCAAACTATTTTTATTTGTAAATGTGATATAATGGAATTTCAAACATACGATTAAAAATGTGATTAATTGCAATCAACTTAAAAAATTTAGCAATTAATAACGATTTACAGCCCTACTATTTACACATTTTTATTGATTTGATTTAAGTTAATTATTGTTAACGTAAAGTGAACTAAAGCCCCGTGTTCACCTAGCGTTTCTTTTCCGAGCGCCAGCGTCTTTTTTCAATTGTTTGTAATGAGTAGAGAGCGTTGGCAGCAACAGGCGGTTGCCAGGAGAAAAAGCTCCAAGAGTTTTATTTCCGAGCGTTCTGCCTCTTTTGTATTTTGTTCTGAGCTCTCAAGTTGAAAATCATCATCCTCCCTCCCTCATCTGATCAGGACATAACAATCAGACATGTAAAACATGCAGTAAAAAGTCACAGAGCAGTGTCGGTCATACAGCGGCTGTTATCAACAGACTGTTGTCATGGAGACAGGACTGACGTGCAGCGCTTCATGCAGGCACTCCCGAGGACACAAACGCATTCTGAACACGGGGCCTGATAATAACAATAATAATAATAATTAAGATAATTGATGATAAAAAGCTGACAGTTTTACGTTCATTTTTTTTCTAGCGGCACACTTCAGACTCGTTACACGGACCAACTGGAGGAAAGTATATCCTGGATCAGGGTATTAATTAGTCCTAAAGCCCGTGAGCTACACGATACCCTTCTCAGGTGCCTTTAGATTACTCATGACAGGACAGAGAAAAAAATAAGTTGGTTCTTGTTTTGCTTTGGGAAATCTTCTTCTAAAAAAACAAAAAGTAGACGAGAGGAGGGAGAGAGAAAGAAAAAAAAACAGTTATCTGTCTAAAACCCCAGCTACCTTCTCTTCC